CCTCACGAGGGYTGCGCTGGAGCGGTTCTTCTGCAGGCCGGGGTGGCAGTTGCCCCCGTGCTCTTTTAGCTGGTATCTTACGTTGCACCTCCCCTAGCACTGAACAGGTCTGGACTGCAGTTCACAGCTGAGACAAAAGAGCAACTTGTGGCTGCCCCAGCTGGATGATTCTGAGCAAATCTACCAGTTTTTCAAGAAATGGGTATTAAGCAAAACAAAGACGAGAACGTGAAGAATAGAGTAGGTAGCAGATACAAGGCAGGGTGTGTGTGTGCAGGCTTTGCATTTGGTTTTCTTTCCCTAACAGGAAAATAACCTTCACTGAAAAAATCCCAGGCCTCTTTGAAATTGGCAGCCTTTTACAAATAAATTCCAGACATTCGTTGTTAATTTCTTTTTATTTCAGCATAACTTTTTGTGGAACAAAGGGCCAGCTCCTGGCCCACATCTGACTTTAAAGCAGATGAGGGGTTTGTTACGGCACTTGTTGTGGGCAGCATTTCCATCCTGCTGGGTTAAGGATCCTTTTGTGTAGGTGCAACCAGGCTAGCGATGGCTTGGTGTGCCCGGGCTACCTTTCCTCAAGGAAAAGGACTAAGCCCCAGCAAGTATCTTTGTGTCCAAATCCATGGAAAAGCAGTGCTGGAAAAGGAGCTCTCTTGGTTCTCCTGGCCCTGCACGTCCTCTAGTTACTGCCATCACCTTACACAGCGTGATACAGTATTGCTGAAATTCATAAGAGTTCATGTGCAACATTCCTAGTTCGGAGGTTTTATGTGATTATAGCATCAAACTTCCAAACTTGACTGCTTTTAAAGGACTGAGGATTAGCTCACCTGGGCATTACCTAGGACTGAGGATTAGCTCACCTGGGCATTACCTCAGGCTGTTTTATCCACGTCAGATATGTAACTTGGTAAGACATTTGCAAAAAATTGACGTTGTCCCCTTGCAGTCGCACCGAGTCCTCAGGATTTGGGCTGGAAATATAGTGACAGAACCTGAAAGCCTCTGCAGAAAAAAAAAGTAAAGATCCTCCCTGTGCTAGCACCAAACTGTTACAGATTGCTGTGATCCAGAGCTGGGCAGCCCCAGATGGAAGAGAGAAACATCCCTTAACAGTCAGTGAGCAGGATATGGGAAATTATGGGTCCTGTGTAGCTGCAGCTTGGCTGTCTTCCAGGTCGGTAGCGTTCTGCATTGCTGTGTATGCTGTTAACACCTTGGTATATACGAATAGTGTGGTCACACTATAGCTGCTTGGGGAACTATAACTTTGAACTGCGTAAAATGCATTCATGTGATTCCCACAGACAGGGTTGTTCTCTAATGGATGGTGGTTAATTAGAGTGGAAAGGTAGGAAAATAAAAAGAACAAATGTATGTTGATCTCCTTCAGTTTTCCAGCTATGCAGTTGGCTTATGAGTGAGCTTGTGAGTGGGATGGCAGCGTGTTGTGGAACCTGTGTGGAACACAGACTTGGATTGCAGCTCCAGGGAGCTTCAGCAAAGTGGCAGCTTCCCTGCTGCCCCTCGCCTTGCTCCTGACACGTGGTGGGGTGGCTGTGCTGTGGAGCAGCACCATTTTAACAGACCCGACTTGCTGRTCGTAGTCACAGCATTTGGAATTAACTTCTCGCTTGTAATTTAAAAATCAGCATTAAAAGAAAAAAGGGAAATACTATCATTGAAAATATCTGCTTTTCTTAGAGCTCCACAAAAATAATTGTTAATTACCTACAAGATTAGAGATCTTTAAAATCCTAGGGTGTGTAGTTTCTTTCTGAGGACTACCTGAGGTTGAGTTATGCATTATGAGCTAGGTTGCAGACCTTTGAGCTTTCTGTAAAGACATCTTCACAGTTATCCTGGTCCCCRCATATGGAACATCCACTTTTTGTAGCCATTTAAGCCTCTCATTCCCACAGTAGTATAATTCCTGAAGCAAGGGAAAAATATATTATTTTTACAGGTGTGATCTGCTTTTGCTAACAGATAGTCTAAAGCCCAAATAAGCACAGGCCAAAAAAAAATACAAAAAAATGTGGAGAAAACTTTGGCGTCAATCAGTTTGKTCATTTTTTGATAGGTTGTTGAGATTTCCTAAAGATACCGATCGTTTGGGTACTTCAGTTTTAGGATGCATCTTGAAAAGCTTCAGTGTCCTGATAGATTGATGCCACTATCTGCAATTCAGTCATCTCTTTAAGTTATTTCCTGCAGCACACTCAAAATCTCAAGTTTCTTTTGAAAATGCTGGCTATTTTCTATTTCATACACATGCACACATATACACACTCACAGATTCTATGTTTAGATACCTTATTGCAGACAAAAAATATTGGAAAGTTCTCAAGTATACGAAAGCTGAAAACTATCAAAAAAATTATCTGAAGTTGTTAAACAGCTTTTTAATATTTAATATTCCTCCTGTCTCAGAGGTTGTCTCCTTCCCAGCTGAGAGCATCCCGAGCTCTGTTGATGCCATGTCATGCAACCCATCTCCTAAGTAGGACCTTGCAACTTCTGAATGACCCAGCAAGGTGATAGACAGGAAAACTCCATGCCCTTCATGGTGTCCTGTATCCCCCTTCAAAAACTGCTGGAGAAATCTGAACAGCAGCTAGCGTTCCCAGCATTTGCTTGGATGAGAGTGCTTTCCACTGTGATGAGCAAATCCTGCTCTTTTAGGAAAAGACTTGAAATGGTCCCAGCTGCCGGTGGTTCCACCTTGCCTGGCCCGGTGCTGGAGGAGCAGCGAGGTGGCACGATGGTTTCRGGTCATTTGCCTGGGCAGTGCTGGGACTCTGGCCAAGCACAAGGCAGGAGGCAGCAGCAGCGGCCTCCCGAGCTGCCAGGTGAGTTTTCCAAGGCAACCTGGCAAATCCCCTGCAACATTTTCAGGCCGGCTGCTTGGGTCGATTTCAGGTTGAGCAGGTTAGCTGACAAAACAGATTTTGATGGTTGCTGTGTTGCACCGAGAGGTCTTTGCCCTGGACAGAGGAGGCGACCAACAGCTCTCCTTGAAACTCCTGCCAAGCACACGCTGTAAATCAGTCAGCAGGCAACGAGAGCGGCTCCATCCTTCTCCTCCTGCGAGAATGAGTGTCACGTCGTGAAAGCCCCTGTTGGAGCATCCACAGCCCGCTGGGGCTCAAGGCTGGCATGGAAAGCAAYGGTCCAGCTTTGTGAATTGCTTTTTTTGCCTATTTGTTTGGTTTTTTTGGCTTGAAAAATGAAATCCCCCACTGGCAAAGCCTGTTCTAGCATGCACCCTCTCCAACAGCTYTTACTGTTCCACCAAAAGGTTGAATTTCACCTTCTCTTTTGTGCTTCTCTTTAGGTCAGAATAATGTCAGCTCCTGCTGGTTTTTGCCTGTCGTACTGAACTGCACCTACCCTGGCTTCTGTTTCTCTGAATTTGTGGTGCATTTTCTTAACGAAACTTAGGTCTCAGCTATCTAAGCGTCCAATTTTAAATGCCAGTGAAATGCAAACATTCATATTATCAGCAAGCAGGTTTAATTCTCCTTTCTGTTGGCAACCAGTCTAAGAGTGAAAGAATGTCTTGTATGTAATTACATAACTGGGAGCTCGGTTAGTTCAGCTTGGCCAATCAACTATGTAATGCTCTTTATCTATGGAGCAGTTATTTACTTAACTGGCTACATCTTTTAGCTCTTTTAATGTCCAGCTGAAACTGTGGGAGTTTGAGCAGTGCTTTATTTACCAACATTTTTTAGCTGTTTAGACACACTGAAATTGAAGGTAAGTTAAATATTGTTTCTAATCAGGAGAGTATTTATAGAAGAGTGTTGTTCACTGGAAATGGCAATAAGACGCCCCATAATTTACAAGAGCCTTTGCTTACACCTTTGCTAGCTCCAGCACATCAGGCACTTTTCCAACGTAGCTAAACCGTGAGTGAATGGGAACATGCTTCTTTCGGCTGGAAAGATAACTAATTCTGAATTACTGTGCATCAAACCCACACGTGCATCAAGCGGGATGGCAGCTACTGCTTAGAGGAGATGAATATCTGTGCTCTTCAAGGCACTCGTGTGTCTGCTTCCTGGTGATGGGCCCAGACCTGAACTCAGCTCCTAATGTTCTTTCCTTCATCGCTGGGGTGCACTGGGCAAACAAGTCCCARTGTTTTTGCTGCCTTCCCCTTTTCACTGTTGCTGATATTCGGAGTGATGCAGGACCAAAGCTGCAGGTCGTCTGTGTTTGCTCCCGRAGGACAACACTGATTTGCAGCAGTCTCCTTATATTAGTGTATTATGTTAGTGTATTAGTATTATATTAGCAAGATTTTGTTTAGTTCATGCCATTTAATGAAAAAAAAAGACACCAAACTATAAARGATAGGAAACTGTTTCCCTGGCCATCCCAGAGACCACATCACTGTGCAGGGTAACCACTTATTCCATTGCTCATTCACRAGTGGAGAGATGCTCAGCTGGGCAAGGGCCAGAGATGCAAGTCGTAATCATTAAACAAGCAAACCCACCAGTCTGAAAGACTTGTGCTCTCCAGMACAAAATCATGGCAAGACAGATTTCCCCATCCTGCCAGGAGCTGAGTCCTTGGTGCAGAGGTAGGAGGATGTTCTCAGTGCTGTGGGATGCGGGTGCTCAGCACCTTACAGAGCCTCACGCTACCAGCAGCAGAATTTGTGCAGCTTGGCATGGAAACTGTGATCAACAGATTTCTGCCCTATCTGCAGAACTATTCAGACACAACATTAAAGTGCCATTTGAATGCTCAGAATAGCAGATAGTGGTTAACTGTTTTTAAAAGTGGGTCAAAAGTTACCCTTTTCCTCTTGCTTTTTCTTGGAGACACATTCTTTTGTGTCTTACTTGTGAAAATAACCTTCCAAATTGGATATTTTGATGAATCCGGAGATTCTCTCCCGTTAAGCAGTTCCACAGGGAAGGCAGATGTTTTTTATGTGTCAATTGCCATTGCTTTTTTTTTTCTTTCTTTCTCTTTAGGTGAACATGTTTGTGGAAGGATTCCATGATGCTATTCTTCTTTATGCTCTAGCTTTGCAGGAAGTCCTGAAGTATGGTTTCAGTAAGAAAGATGGGGAAAAAATTGTTCAGCAAACACGGAACAGAACATATGAAGGTAAGAGCTAATGTGGAATTCCAGCTTTCAGAGTCAGAAAAGATACCAGGTCTTTTCTGTGTGCAGAATAAGGACCAGTGCCTATCCAGCTCTTATATGAGAAGCAAATATCCACATGAGATCATATACATCTTTAAGATCATATACCAGCCGGAACTTTTCCACCATCTCCTGAGGTGCTGTTTAGTTCAAAGAACTAACAATTTAATGGCCCTCACTGATGATGTAAAGAAACACCAGCAATTTTCTCTGACTCCTTTGTTTCTGAAAAGCTTACAGCTGCTCACTTTCCTCAAGAGTAAAAAGCAGAGAGTCATCCATTAGCTCTCAGACTGCCTCATTCTTTCCATTTGACTTTTTTATCTTAAAAGGCTGGGAATGGATCGAAGCGAGCAGGTGCCAATTTTTCTGTTTGTTTCTTGACAGGCTCTTTTGGGCCCTGCAAGGATTTCCTCCCAGCCCCTTTTGGGACTTCTGCGTGTTGTCTCAGAGGCAGCCGCTGAATAGTGCTGTGCCTTTTCGTGCTGAATCCTGAGGGCTGTGATTCCGAGTGCAACTGGCACGTGTTTGCCACCTTGCTGATGCAAAGCCACGTGAGCACTTTTGCCAGGAAGGGATATTGATACAGAAACTGGATTCTGACACTGCAGGTTTATCTGTCATCTCTGATAATATTCCAGTCTTTTGGAGCACAGTTGAGCAGACTTCCAATAGAAATGCCTAAGAAATATTTTGCCTTGATAAGAAGCCAATAATTTAAAAAATGAAGGAAAACTCAGTGGCCAGATTCTCTGGTCTGAGAGCAAACACTGGACATAGTGGAGGAGGTCAAGGAGGACCGTGGCTGAAAACCTCTTACTTTCTAAAATTATGTCTGAACAGAGGGCAAAACACCCCTCAGGCCAAAAAAATATATATCTTTATTGCTTTAAATGATGCTGTCCCTAAGGAAGACTGCCCCGGCTGCAGATGGTGCTCTGTGCTATTTCCTGCCACATCCATGTGTTCCCTAAACTTACCCCTTTAACACAGGTAACCTGGTGTTTAAAGAGTTAAAAGAGTTTAAAGAGTTCCTGTTTGACCATCCTGTGTATGAACAGGTGTCCTAGCACAGCGCAGGTTTTCTTGACTGATTTTCTCGTTGCCAGCAAGTCCTGTGTAGTGCCACGTGCTCCATGCAGAGGAGACCACAGGTTAYACGATGGGTTCTCACACCTTGCTTGTAAAACCAGCCAGGAGGAAAAAAATGTTCCCTTTCGCCACTCGTGAAAACCAGTTTSTTGTTGCTGGGTGACTTGTCACAGCTGTTCTGGAAATGCAGCTGCCACATTGAGCCAGGAGGGCACGGCTTGCAGTGTCAAAATGCCTTGTAAGTTATGTGCCATCTCCTCCCTGGGGCAGTACTCTGTGAGTTTAATTTTGCAATGAGAAGCYTGGTTTAAAGAGAAGCCTTCAACCTGGCTTCTTACAATCCAGTCCTTTAAGGAAAAATCATTTCCTTTTATCTTGTTTGTAAGACTCTAAGATAAATATAGCATCACAGCATCCATAGAGCTACCAGGTGTGTTGCAGGACTGAGCCTTTAAAACTCATTTAAACTTTTGCAGGCTTCAATCATCAGAAATAAAATTGCCATTMATTTGTAGTTACTGATGTATACATCTGTAATTGCCCATGCGCAGCTGGCTCTGAGTAGGTGACCCATCTGGATGTGACAGCCATTTCATGCAACATTCACAGACAGTCCAAACTGCCATCCAAACTGCCACATGCAACAGCCTGGCTGCAATGTAGGCAAGGACACTGCAGCTCTTCATAGTGGCCTTTTCCAGTGCTTTTGTAGCCAGCTGGTTATGCCTACTCTGCCCTCCTGCRATAATCAAATTTGCAGTCATTTCCTTATGGTACTGTTATACTTAAAAGAAGATGTTTGGCAGTAAATCTTTGGATTAACAGTGCATATAGTGAAAGTCACAGGAGGTTTCAGCATTCCCCATAGTGCTGTGTTAAAGTGGGAATAGAGAAGAGATGAACGTAGGTGTATTCATCCGTTGAGGCTTTGCGGTTGCCCAGCAATGTTGAGGGGAATTTGCACTCTGTCTGASAAGCCGACTTCTTTTTTTCTGATTTACAGTCACTGGCAGCCTGACTCTCTGCTACTTTGTGCCCGGTATAATCACATAATCTGTGTAAAGTGGATATAAAGTGATGCTTGTTTGACCTGCGCTGGCTTTGCAGGGGTGTAAATTGCTGCTTTAGGTGCCATTTGACAGCAGAAGATGACATTTCGGCAGCCTCTCGGCCTGAGGGCAGCTGAGCATGGAAGAAGAGGTTGCAGAGTGCCCCAGCTTTGAGCTTTCCGGGAACACACAGATCCCTGGGCAGCCCATTCTGCCCTCCTGGATGACCCTGCTTGAGCAGGAGGTCRAACTGGAGACCTCCTGCTGCCCCTGCCCTCTTGAATTATGCTGTGATGATAAGTTTTCCCCAAGCTTCCTCAAATATTGTTAGTAGCCATAGTTATAGTAGCTCTGTAGATAGAGATGGGTCTAAGACATGTGCAGTACATAGCATATGTTTAATTTATTCCTCATTATTAAAAAATTTTCATGTGACTTCCATCATGTGAGGGGCTGCTAAGGTGACGCTAGGATCTGTCAGACTGGTCTTTAACAGTCTGAATTTGCTAAAGCAGTTGAAACGAGACAGGCAGCTGGCTYGGATGCTACTCAAACTTGTAAAGGAAGGAAGTGAACTGGGGTCAAAAATATAAAAYGAACAGCAACACATTATGCACTTCATCATATGTAAAAGAATGCAGGTTTTAATGTACCTTTTGTGTGCCTAGTTCCTCYTTTTTCCCCTCTGCCCCCCTCCAAGATCCCATAGGACAGGATACAGTGCTGGAATAGCTGCATGGGAGCCCCAAGCTCTGTCAGGCTCTGGGGCTTCTGCCCGTGCCCTGCAATCTCTGCAGCACCTGACCTGGGCTCTTTGCTGAGGCATCGTTAGCTCATTTGGGGCTGAGCTCTCTGTCAATGATTTGCATTGGAAGCATTTTGTGCTTTACTCTGGCCCACTGGCTTTCTGGACAAGATTTTTCTCACATATTCCCTAGTCTCACACATTTGATATTTAAAAAGGAGAAATGTTAAGAATTCAGGAATGCAGACACCGAGCTGAAATTACAATTTCTTTTGGAATGTCAACAAAAATGCTGGGAGACTGATGAGATTTCCTGTCATATCGGTCTGTAAAACCTGTCCACTGTTTTCTTGTTTTCCTTGGAAAGGCTCAATATTTTAAGTAATTAATTTTCTAATTCCTTACATGCCATTCTTTAGGCATTGCAGGGCAGGTGTCCATAGATGCCAATGGAGACAGATACGGGGATTTCTCTGTGATTGCAATGACGGACCCAGAGACAGGCACCCAAGAGGTAAGGAATCATTAACAGTAAACATTATTACTTAAATTTAGTGGGATAAAGTGGGATAAGTTTGATAGGAATGGGATATATATCCTCTTTTTGTTCAGGGTGTTTCTTTATATCGTGTTTATCAAATGAGTCTAATTCTTCCAGCTTTTCCTCCTTTGCTTTACTTCCAATTCAGACTATCTTTCATTTCTTTGCTGTTGCATTCCTCTTCCCCTTTAGCTTACTTTTCATCTTAATTTCTCTCTGCTTAATGATGGTACGTATAAATATACATAACAAGTGAGTGAGTATGCAATTATTTATTACCTGCTTCCGCTACATTCATTTCTGCCCTCATGCTTCACTCTGACTAATAACATGGTTTCTTTGATGTCTTTGTTTTATTCATTCTGCCAATTCCTTCCATGTCAGCTTGAAAACTTTTGTTTCTCAGTGGAACTGAGCCAAATGAATCCGTGTTTGGTCAGAGCTGTCTTCCTAAATCCATTCACAGAGCTTAAGGCTAGAAGAAAACATCAGATCACCCAGTCTGACCTCGGCTGCATCACAGGCAGGCACAGGCTCCTTCCCTTGTATGGAGCCTGGCACTTTGCAGGCAACTGAAGGTCCCTAAAAAGTCACTTTTTCTTCATTAGGGGACACTGAAAAAACAGGGACTGTCTCACTAGCTCCCTCAGTGTTTAGTCACTCTTGCTCTTTAAAAATGTGCACCCTGTTTCTGCTCTGAAACAGTTTGATTGCTGCCTCCTATGTGCTCTTGTTAAGCTGGTTTCTGAATCCTGTCATATTTCATAAGTCCTCTTGGTAGAGGAGAGCTCTAGTAAGGACACCTCTGCCACTCCTCTGATAATGAAACAGTCTCAGTGAATTCTGTGCTAACTGCAAATGGTCTCACTTTTTTTTTTCCTGAACTTTTCAACTTTACTGAATTTGCCTATATTTTTGGAGTCTTTGTTTTATATATAAAATATATAAAAGTCTTTCTTTTAAGGTCCTAGCTTACAGTTAAGTACTGGGAGAGAAATCTGCTTCCATATTTAATGTGAATTTTACTTTTGTGTACCTAACCAGGGCAATGTTATGTACTTTCTAAATCTTTCTCTTCGGAATGGAGTTCAGGAGTAAGATCTGACCTGGCTGTCAGGAGTCAGAATAAAAGAAATGTTATACTAGTATCTAAACCCAATGTATCTGTAGCTATATTTTATCCATAATTGAAAACACAGACCTTTTGATGTGCTTCTGCCATCCCTGTATCAGTGCCTGGGCGTCATTATGTGGCCTTTTGCCTTCATTAGAGTACATAGATTTATGGGAGCTACTTTCAGATGAGCGACTTACAACTTTTGCCACAATTTAGTTGTGCAATTTTGCAGTAGATCTGGTTCATCTTATCTTGTATGGAATATTAAAGGCTGGATTTACTCTTGAGGACAGGATGGAAGTTCCAAAGCATCTTGAAGAATTGCTCTGACATAATAGCAAATGCTGCCAGAATGGTAAACCCCACATGCCGTTCGATGTAAATATAAGGAACTGCAGAACTACAAGGTAGAGAATGACTGGCTCTCTGGTAATTCTGCAGAAGATACAAAGATTTTAGATGAAGTCCAGGTACCTCCAGGTCTTGGGATTAAAAAAAAAAAAAAAAAAAGAGAAAAGAGAATCCTAGGTTTGCTTGTGCACTGGAGGACATCAGGACTTACAGTTGTCCACCGCACTAGAACCTGTCCTGAGCTCTCAGCCTTTAGTGCAACAATTGAAGAAGGTCCAGGGAGAGCAGCAGGAGTTAGGGCTAAAACACTCATGTGAAGCAGGTTTATACAGAAGGGAAGCCTGGGGGTAGACATTATAGCAGCCTATAAATATGTAAACAGATGTTTCAGAAAGGAAAAGCCTCTGCATCCACTGGCAACAGTATAAGTAGTGATAGATGATTACCACAAGGGAGATGTAGGTTACGTGTTAGGGGAAACCACTAACAGTAAAGATAGCTGAGCTCCAGAATAATTGCCTACAGGAGCTGTCAAGACTCCRTCTTTGGAGGCTTGTAGGAGCAGGTTAGATAAGCATCTGCCAGGAATGCTCTCCTTCCTCTGCTCCTGCCTCGGGCAGAGCGTGGAGTGACCTCCCGGGGACCCCTTCAGCCCTGTTCTCCGTCCTTCAACATCCAGCCACAAGAGCTCCAGCGATGCCATGCACCTCCTGCCTGTTTTCCCGAGTTCATAGGAAAATCTTTCCATGCATTGCATTCTTTTTTGGCATAGGTGATCGGGGACTACTACGGAAAGCAGGGGCGTTTTGAAATTCGATCAAAYGTGAAATATCCTTGGAGTCACGGCAGGCTGAGACTAGATGAGAGCCGTGTCTCGGAGCACACRAACAATACGCCGTGCAAATCATGTAAGTTTAGTGATGTAATGCTTGCATCCATGTGAGGAATCCATGCCGGGGTGCAGCACGAGGGGCTGCATTATTTTGCTTAGTGCAGTTGCCCAACGGAGCTGTCATGACTGCGTCTCTGCTGACCGTTTGGGAAGCCAGAGTCCTGGGCAGTACGTGGTGTGCGTCACTCTGCTGAGCTGATAAGGATGGCAATCAGGATCAGGATGCCTGCGTCCTCACGCCAGGCTCCAGCGCCCTYCCAGGTGCTCAAAGGTAAAATCAGAAGTCATTAGTCAGAAAGAAGGAAACAAAGGATATAGCATAATARAGAATAATCATGTTGATAATTAACATGTGGGGGAAGCGCAGTCCCAGTGTTTGCTCTCCCAGTGGAGAATGAATGTTCCCTGCTGAGAGRAGGAACTGCAAAGAGTGCAGTCAGAGGAGCAGAAGTGGTTGAAGAGGCAAGGAGAAGGAGCAGGCTGCAGCCATCTGAAAATGCCCCCGCTGTGGAGCTGCCTTGCACCCTGAGAACGACAGTCCCCGCTGGGGCTCCCCCTTTGCCACCCCGAGGGAGGCTCTGCCCCCCTTCAGAATAGGGGCAAGGCAAAATTCCTGTGGCTTTAAATTAAAAAAAAATAAAAATTAATTAAAAAAAAAAAACTAAAAAACCCCATAAGTTCAGAAAAATCTATGAAGCCATTGAATAATCATATGTTAATTTTAGCAAGCCTGGCTGATAGTCGGTTATGATGCTAAACCAGGTGAAACAAGACTTTTTGGGTGATACTCAGTACTGATTCCTAATACATATTTTGCTATAATTGCAGTCCAGGTGTTGTGATTCAGACCAAACTGTCCAGAACAGTTTCTTAACAACACCCCTGCATATCACATCTTCACRATTCTGACTTCATTTGGCACTGACCTTGGGGGCTTGTTAAAACCTCAAGGAAAGCAGGGACAAAAAAATAAACATGCAGGAACTGGAACTGAAAAAAAAGGTTCCCACGGAGTCCTGAACTCTGAATGGCTTTTGTTATTGTCTGATGCTGGTCATTCATTTCCTAGCCCTGTGTATTTTCGAATACGTGAATGCAAATAGTTCTCAATGTGAACCCTGACCGTTTATTTTTCCCTCTTTCAAGCAGGTGGTCTCGGAGAATCAGCGGTCACAGGAATAGTTGTGGGCGCTTTGCTCGGAGCAGGATTGCTAATGGCTTTTTACTTTTTCAGGTCAGTCCAATTAATTGAAAGCGTCTTAAACTCTTTAGTCTTTATCTCAGCCTCTCAGCTCTTGGCAGCACATCCTTGATGTGAGGAAGATGTGAGACAGAGAGGCACCATAATCATCTGTGGTAAAATTCCCACCAAAGACTGTGAACACACTTTGGCTGTCTTATCTTTTGTGCATATCCAAATCATTTTATGGATTCGGAGCCTTGTCCTGTAAACACTTGCATCTCGGAGTAACTTTACTCGAGGAAATAATTCCAGTGTGTTCCGTTCATTCACAGCTCCCTTGATAAAAAGCCTTGGCCTTGAAAGCTGCCTTTGTTTGGTATTCCTTGTCAGCTTAATTGTGCAGTCTGTGATCAGGCAAGAGATTTATATCACTTGCCTGGTATCATGCTTAGTTTTGATCACTGAGAGCAGTTCTTCTGGAAACTACAAGGACATTTCTGCATTGGTTTAAGAGAGCACTTGGATTTCAAAACTGTACATTTAACTTAATAAATCAGCATCGGTGCTGGGTGATTGATGTTTCATGCCTCTATGAAAAATAATGCTTACACCGTTGGTCAGCAAATTTAAAGTGTTAAGAGTTGATCCTGCACCGAAGGACCAAATTATTGCAGCATCTGTTCAGCATCGTGTATATGCTGAAYATATATCCTGTATATGGACTTATCCTCTTATAGCATGGAGCAGAAAAGATAAGTAGGAGAATGGAATTCACCTTTGCATATAGCAGTCAAATAATTTTTTTCAGTGAAAAGAATTACCTATAAAACACATAAAATGAAACAASGAAAACCTGCTGTAGTTCACCAGCCCACATCCACGGTTTCAAAATGTCTCAGAGTCCAAGGTTATTCATCAAATACTTATAACTGAAATTCCACAGGATGACTGGTGCTAGATGCATGGCCTATTAATSCACCGTTATAAGAGGTGCTTTGCTGTCCATGTTGTTAAAACTATGGCTAGGGAAAAAGCATTTTATGCATATGTTTAGTGCTTATGTAAGATCCAAAYATATAAAAATTTGTCTAGGAGAAGGCAAAATTGCTGTCTTCAAAAAAAAAAAAAAAAAACCTAGGTGTATCTATGTTGTATGTCGTTATAAACTCTTACATTTTTTTATACGTTCCCAAACTGAGATGATAACTTTTAGAGCTGATATGAAAGGGACTTTGTGGGTGGGGACAGGATATGTGGCAAAAGATTCATCCTTAGCTAGTATAAAACTATACAAAGCATTCAGTGTAGGAACTACTTTTAAACTCTTAAGCATCTGGCACTAAGATTTGGGGTGGAAATTTAAGTGAGCAAAGCTAGGTGTCAGTAAGAGTGGATATCCACACTTGAGCTCAACACCTAGTCTCTTATTTTTGGTGAAAGGGGAGAAATAGGCACATTTTTGGTGCAGTAAAACAGGTCAGAATGTCTCCTATAAAGCAGACATTTCTCTCTGTTGACTAGTAATGTGGGTGCAGGTATCTCAGATGGATCTGCACATTGGAGACATCTGAATGTGCACAGGTGAATTTAACCCTGGAGAGCTGATTGCACCCCTTGAAAGGAGAAATAAGGTCAAGCTCCTCATTTCTTCTTTAAAAGAAGTATATGAAACATGGTGCATCAGGCTGTATGGCTCAGACTTTCAGAAAATGCAGGTCTGGAAACTGTGTGCTTGGGAGCGATTGCAGGAGCTGTTGTATTTACTCCTTAGCTGTCCTCCACAGCTCACTTCTGAGTTCAGCTTACTGCCTCCACTGACATTATAAACATGGTAGCTTTCCTYGGGGAGAGGGGAGAGTTAGTCAGTTAGTTAAAAAGTAGTTTCAGTGAGAAATACAGTGGAATAAAGTCAGTGCAGTTGTTTGAACTCTGCAGAAAGTGCCCCTCTATACAGGGAAGCAATGTGGCTTTGATCAATCTAAAGCAGTGATGTGACACGGTTCAYATGCCACTTCACAAAAGCTTCCCAATCACTTAGATCAGAAATTTTCAAAGAAACAAATGCCTGTGCCTTGGTGCTTTGAGACTGCTGTGTAGAAACTAACAGGCCTTCTTGGGCTTGGGTGACATATTTCAAGGCAAACTACTTTAATCTTTGACCAGGGTTTCACATTCTGTYGCATTTCATTTTTCAACCGGACCCTAGCTGTCCCCTACAGGCATTCTCTATGAGGGAAGTCCTGTTATCCTAGAGCAGGAGAAGGATTTCTCACTCTGTTCTTCTCCTTTTATGCAGAAAGAAATACAGAATAACTATTGAAAGACGAACTCGACAGGAGGACTGTAACATGGGGAAACATCGACAGTTGYGAGAAGACTCCATTAGATCTCATTTTTCTGCTGCATAAAGGAGAAGGAAAATAATCCCATTCTTCCTGGAAAAAAAGAAATTAGGGAAATGGACACAACCAAAGACAGCAGCGTATAAAGAAGAGGCTCTCAAAGAACTCACTCTTTTAAGCAGTAATTTTATCTTAATTTCTTTCAGAAGCTCAGGAATGATTTACTAATCACATTATGCCACATGGCCTTTCATCTCATGAAAAAAAGAAAAAGAAAATGCMACAGTTTGATCTTATAAGATGTACTTAATATGTAAAGACAGTATTTCTTAAGGCATATGCTAAGGGCAGCAGGTTTGGGCTTAGCTGATGGAAATGCCTCTTTCTGTTCCCTTTTTCTTAAGCTCCTACTGCCTCCTTCCTCAATGACATCTCACTTGTGGGTATCGGATGTGGTTTCACAGACACAGGTGCTGATTTGCTGTGAAGGTGAAAATAGGGGTTAATTTGGGGTAGGATCCTGCGTCACTGGACGATGCTGTTGGTTCCAGGGGGTGCAGGGTTGGCCATGGGAGGGAGCCGGCGCTTGGGTGTCATTAACTCAGATTAAGGCAACACACACGGGTCACCCCTTGCCTGTGTGTGCAGCACGGTGGTCAAAGGCACTGGTTCTCCCTCGGACACGCTGGGAGCCAGGAGCAGCTCCAGGGAAGGCCATGGAGTCCCACTGGAATGAAGTAGCATGGGAGCCGACAATCAAAGCCTCTGGGGAGGACCAGCTAATTCTTCAGTCTTATGTGTATTTTGTCATTATCTTTTCTCTCTTGGAGAGGCAAACACAGCCCATGAAGAGCCTGCCCCTGTCCCCAGTGAAGTCAGTGGCAAAGTCCTATTAACTTCAGTGAGTACAGGATCACATCCAGAATATGTAAATATGAAAGATACAGGAGTGTTTGTATAGCTGAGGCAAATCAAAAGAGGGTCTTTTTGTATAAAAAGAACATTCCATGCTAACATTTTGTTTTTAGGGTATTTTTATCTTGTATTTTTCTATTAAATATCTATTTTTTGCTTTGGTAGGATTAAAAATTAAGGGGAGTGAACGTTTGAAGACATATTTTTTATGACAGCAGTAACATGCAGAGAAAGTAAATAGATGTAAATACATTTTAAAAATCAGTATTTGGTGAGGAGAAGGGAGTTATGGATAATAACTAGCTTTCTGCCCCACTCTGTTCTCCAGGCATGTGGAACATGCAAATAGTTATTTAACCAATGCAAATGTTCTCATACAATTGTCCATATGATTGCCCTGATCCTGAAATTAATAATTTTGCCTAYGTTGGATAGGCTGAGACTAGTCAGAGAGACCAATTATTCATGTATGTACAATTAAACACACAAAGAACTACCTTCATGATCGGGGTGGTAAAACACCACTCTAGGGCTGATTTTAATCTTGCTGCCATGAGCAGTCCTGGGAATTTTGCCATTAACTTTATTGGGAGCAAGACTGAATCTGTGATGAATTAGCTACTGATAGCTACTGATAGGTTATTTCATACTAGACAGAGGAGAGCTCTGTGCTTTCTAGTCAACAAATGGAAGCAAACAGTGCATACTCTAAACGTGATGAATAAGAACCATACAAATATTGTCTGAGAAAACCTAGCTATGAATATTACTCTAATGTGTGGAATCTGTTTATCTTACTCTGATTTCACAAACTGAACTTTCGGGTTTCACAGTTACGCTTTATATGAATGTTATCCTCAAAGCTGGCACTGAAGCCCCATGTTCTGCGAAACTCACACTCTGAAAAGCTAGAGGGTAAATTCACAGAAACCATTCTGGGGTAGTTGGAAGGGAGTGAACAGCAAAAGTTGGCTTTACCTTCCTTATCCTGCCTTTTATCTGCTGATGTTGTATGTGCAGGCCCCACGGATATTTCCTTGGACTGGTTTCACTGTTTCTTACATTGCAGTCTCTGCCGTATGTGGTGGTTCCTTGCCACCTGAACCAACCTTCTGAAATGCTTATTTTTTTCCAAGCAGTTGACTCTGGAGTGGGAGGAGTATGATTAAATTTTTTTTTTATAGGTAATTTCGAGAAGTTTTATAGTTTGATTTGAAAATATGCCTTTCAGAGTCACTTTCTTTCATCCATTTGACTACTTTGTCCCTGAAAAAGGAAGAAAAATGTTTCAAAGTGCAGAGAAAAGACAATATGATTTCAAGGATAAACTTTTTCAGAAATATTTGCTCTGATGTACCTTTCAGTCTGAACTCCCGCTCCCCCAGTCCCTAGTTAAGGAGCATTGCAGCAGTGTAGATTTGCTGCTTKTCCTGTTCCAAGCACTGTTAAATCAGACTTGAAGATCTGGAACAGGATAGATCTGTCTGGGACAAAAAATTGTTAGGATAGTTTTTTTTTGAGTCACTTTTAACTAAGAATAAGAAACAAACATAAAAAGTGTAATTAAAGGTCACTTTGAAATTAAAAATATAATAATTTTGATCTCCAATTATACGAAATRTTTTTAGTCATGACCTCAGCATTTGTTTTGTCTGCTCGTGAAGTGCAGTCCGAGGTCTGGCCACAGCTTTGCATCCCAGCAGCTCCCACCATCCTCCGTAGGTAGAACAGGTCTTACACATTAGAACATTTTAGACCAATGCGCTGTAATTTTGTAGGATTTTTTTTCCAGAATTTTCCAATCATTTGAGCCATTTCATCTAAGTAGATTCCTGTATAGCATAAACTTGTTCTTCTCAGCCACTGTTCACAAGTCTGTTGCTAATAGTTCCCAGATCTTCCCGGAACTAGAGCTCTCAAACTGCTTTGAGTTTAGATTATTCAGAGGAGAGAGTCTCTACCATCGAATGCACTTTTCCTTTCTGGCTCATCTGCACTAGCTCAATGCCACAATGTTTAGGCTTCAACCTCTGTGAGGGAATGTCTAATCAAAATAATAATAATGGATTCCCAAAAGGATTTTCAAAACATACATTTCTGGCTGCAGCAAATGGCCCATATTGCAAACATACATCTGTATTACAGAGCAGCACAAGGAGGGTCTTGACTCAACCCAGTACTTTAGAACACACTTAAAATACGCTCAAATTCAGCTTCTAAGTGCTTTGCTCCCATGGGGCCAAATGGTCCTGGTCCCAGTTGAGCAAAAGGGAATTTCACCATGCACTTGAACCAGAGAAAGGCTGGCCCCATAGTCCATATGTTTATTGCTAAGTCTTACAGTTATGGCTGTTAATCGAATACATACTTGTAGCTTTGCAGGGCTTTTTCTGTCAAAGTGACATCTTCTGCTAATTTAGATAATTCTTTCAGTTGCTTAACACTGTTCAGTGTAACAGGGTCTCTTCTTGAGCATTTTAGAGCCAAGTTATCTRGCGGCCATCCCTGTATCTTCAACATGCAGACGTGCAGGATTGTGTCCAGAATTCAGTTTATTAAAAAGGTATATTCATTCACTTCCAGAAATAGAGGAAATATTAATGATCTATTTTCAGGTTGTTTTTAAGAAATGCTTTACTGCATTTTTGGAAGTCTTTTGTTATATTTTAATTGAGAATTAATAAGATGGGGCTAATCCTCTGAAAATTCTGGGAGGATGAGAGTTGTGCAGGACAAAATATGAATGTTCTCTGACAGGGTGTTTTATTGAGCAGTTAATTTCTAATTAATTTTTGGACTTGGAGATTCAGTCACACTCCTAAAGCTAATTGAAAAGAAGAAAACAACCAAACAAAAACATTGACTTAATGGAAGCAAGTGCAGGCCCTTAGTGAAGTATCTGCAGGTTTAAACTCAGCATCTTGTGGCAGTTCAGAGTGAATTCCTTAGCTCTGCAGTAGAACAGGCTGCATCAGCCTTAGCTGACCTTGGCTCCGGAGTGATTTTCACCTCATGAATGCCATAATGCTCCTGGAAAGCCAGGAATAGACATCAAAGACAGGAAGCTAATAGTCCTGGTCATAAATTTCTTTGGCAATTCAGGCCACCTTTTCCGGAGCTCAAGACAGTTTCATATCCTTCACTCCCCTGCTTTATGCTTCGGAGCGTAAAACCTTGCTGTTTCTATAAATACTGCAGATGAGATTTTTCTCTCCATTTCTCCTAGAATGAAAACTGTTGAATTCCCTGTTTTCTTCATGCCTTTTTCTGTAGCTTCAGAGGTCCTTCGAAGACAGACAACCATTTTCCATATGTTACTCAGAAATGCTCCCTCTTCACTAAGATGTGGCTTTTATATCACTTAGCCTTCGACGGTGCCTGCCACGCTGTTGACCTGCTGACCAACTTGCATTGGCCCTACTCCACACCAGCCATTTTCTGACATTTTAGACCCAGAATTGCCAAGTCTCACCTGTCTTTGTAAATGACCAGGTGAGGTAGAAAAATTGGCTTAACCAAAAACTTTCTGCAGTTTAACCTGCTATTTTCAGCTAGCGTGTAAGTACTGCATATTGTGAGTATTGGGGCAGGCCCATTAAAGCCAGAGCAATTACTGGGCATGACTGGGCTGCAGGACTGGGCTGTAGCTCGGCCCAGTTTGTTTGGGCGGTGATGTCAGTCAATGTCTGTTGGTTTTGCCCTACTTGATGCTGTCTAATGACAGCAAACTTAGTGACCCTTGAAGCAGAGGTCACAAAGAACAGACAGCAACAGATAATGAAGTTCTAATGGTCATTACTTATTCTACTGGTTGGGGTCATGTCCTAGTAACTCCTGTCACAGCAATGACCAATCAAGGGACAAATGTCAGCAAGGTGCATGCTTTGTAGRAGGCAACGTCAGTCTTTCCCAGAGACAAAGACACGTAGAAGTTTTTTCTGGAATATATTTTTAGAGAAATGCTGGAAAAATTTTTGCCTTCAGATATGTACTGCACATCCTCCCAATCCCTTYCTCCCTACTTTCTTGCTTTGAAAGCACAGGAAGGTTTCTGAGGATGTGAAACCTTTCAAATGGAAGAATGGAAGTGTTCGCACTGTGCATATCCCTGCTTAGAGGCAGAAATGAGTTCACATGGTAAAAGGCTTGTTTGTTTATTTTTCCATTCTCAGATATTTTAATATCGTAACACTGAGACTGGTGGCAAATGATTGTTGAACTTAAAACAAATAGCTACTTGTGAGAGACCTCAGAGGGGGCTGTCTGTGCAGTCAACAAGGTGTGCA